AGTGGAAGTTCGCCGGCTCCTTCTACTTCGCCATCACCGTCATCACCACCATCGGTGAGTGCCCGCCCGGCCTCGGTCTGCACGGCTGTAGAATGGGCGCAAGCTCCCCGCGCCGCCCGGAGGCTCCCCCTGTGCGGGGCAGCCCGACGGTGGGGCGGGACAAACAGGCTGGAGCCACCAGGCATCTCTGGGGCCAGATGAACTTTTGGTGCCCTTGGGTTTCTTGTGAAGCCGCCTCAATGGGTGCAACAGGGTCTGAGATGCTGGGCTGGAAGCGGGTACGGAAATGCAAACCCCCAACGACCGGTCCCCCGGCAGCGTCTCACAGAAACAAAACCCGCGCGCAGGCGGGATGGAGGGGAGCGGCGGTAGGAATGGGCCTGGTCTCTTCTGGTTTCTAGTAACAGGTGCACGTGGACGGGTCTAAATGTGCTCCTCTGAGAGAGATGGCCAGGAACTGGGCATGTTTCAGTGGGGTGCAACACCGGCCCTGTGGACTTCTTGGGAGCTGGGATCCGCCTGGTCCCGTCTTCTCCAAGTCCGGTCATTTGACTGTAGCATGGAGAGTGTCAGCCTCCGCATCACGTTGTACAGGCTTATCTGTGGGGATGCTCGGGAAAATGTAATCCAAATTAACTTTCAGAGGGGATGATTAAACCACAGTAAATCCCCCTGTAGGCTCTGAGAATCAGAATTAAAGGCCGTCATTTGCGTTGTTTTGTTTACTGCGCAAGTGGGTTAAGCCAAAGGGAAGTAAAGCCGCTCAGATTGTGAATGAATTCCTGCGGGCTCCGCTCTGTTTAATTTAACCAGTCCATTTTAAAATCACACCTTCAGTTCATTCAGACGAATGGCTCTGAGTGTGCCCACATAACCCAGGTAGGCTCCTGGTGCCCCTCTGTGTTGTTTGAGCTATGTGCAAACATGGCCTTGATGCAGAGTCCTGACATCTAGTCTCAGCCTCCGCCAACATGCTGTCACCAGACTAATTGCTTACTTCTATAAAGCGGGGTACACCCTGCTGAGCAGTATGGCAGTTAAAATATATCAAGCGGTTGTGCAGTAGGAAAGCATTGTGTAGGTGCTGTGTATTTTACCTCATTGAGTATACACATGACCTGAGCCCAGCTGTGCATTTAGAGAGCTTGGCTTTTAAGTCATGCCCATCACAATCAGGTGAATTCCCAACTTCAAGGAAATAACCCATATCCTTGTGACAGATGATAGTGCTTTTTACTCAGGCAGGCGCTTCATTTGCTTTTCTTTCATAATTAGAAGTTTGATTATTTCCTGAACCTCACAAATAAGATGCCTAATATTTGCCCCCGACACTGTGTATATCCCTCGTTCCTAGAATATTGGTGCATCAGATCCCTTTAACTGGATTCAGGCCCTGAATCTGAGGTTTAACATTAACAAAGCTGTGTTTATTATTTCGTTGTCACTTTGAAAGCATATGTCATATCTTCTTTTAAGAGCAGCTAGGGGCACAACAGCTGTTTCTCCACAGTGTTGCTTGTGATAGCTATTTCTCACCTAGGTGCTCTTGCAGCATCCTCCTGTATCCTAGGACCTGGTAATAGCAGCCAGATATTATGCTAAAGATTGATTATTTTTCCTATCACTTGCTTCTTACTTCAGTTTGCATTCAGCAAAAAATGTGCTAGACAAAATTTAATTTGATCTCATTTGATTTTGTTGGCATATATACATCCCAACTGGAAACTCTCCCCCTCCAAATGTTGCAGTCATGAATTTACCACATTCAGTGATCGTGTAGTACTCTGATTTGTGACCTGACTTCAAGGCAAGAATTTCCTGGAGAGGAAGTTACACAGGAGAATCTACCCAAGACACTCGTAAATCAACTCCTGATCTTTCCTGAGTGGCAAACTGAGTTTCTTTAAAAAACAACTGCAAAACCCTAGCCCATGCAAGTGTAGGAGAAGCCAAGTCGTAGCATTAAGTGAGTTAAAAATAGAATGTCTCTGGATGTGCATTTTTCCCATATTCTTCACACCATTCGTTTGCATAACTGAAAAAAGTAAGAAATTGAAATGATTGTTTTAGAAATCCTGTACCACCATATGGGGAATGAACTGCTACCAAACCTTTTTCAATTAATGGGTATTGTTCTAGGCTATAAACCTGTCTGGAAAAAAAAAAGGTTCTATCCCTATTAATTTCTCAAACAGAGAAGATTTTTGATAACTCCTCTCTTTATCCTGGCTGCTTGCATGATATAGTGTCATTCCTTTACAGAGAGTTAGTTACTCATCCATTTGGGGCAGAAGCTACAAATTTCAGTGTAGCATATACAGTTAAGTCAGGTGGTGCAAAATCACGAATAGCCAGAGAATGGCAATGAGCACCTTGTTATGATCTCACTGTAACTGTTTGTCTCCTTGACAAACAGTTACAGCTGTAAAGTGTAAAACAAAGCAAGGAAATTAAACTCCTTTGATCAGGACAGAAAATGTTGCACTTTCCCTAGCTCAGGTTTTGGAGACTCAGGAAACATTTCTTTATATATAAAGCAGTAAAAACGAAAATGGATGGCGAGGGAGTAGTTTGGTCTGGGTCTCGTCTCAGCTGTGCTGGCGTAGATCAGAAATAAGTCTATAGGAGTCAGTAGAGTTAAACCAGATGTTATGGTTGTATCTCCACCGCTGAAGAACTGTGCTAGGGATCACTGCAATAAAGCACACCATGTCTGATCCCTGTACCCTGAAACAGATGTCATGTTACCGCCCTTAGTGCAGCGCTGGGCATGCCCCGATAAGCATGCCCAAGAAAACAGCTCTTTCAGGGTGCGGCATGCAGAGTGAGCATGGCTTACTTCAATGTGGTGCTCCCTAGCAGAGTCCTCTGACTCTGTCGCTGTGCTTTAAGCTTGCCCTCCATGACTTCTATGAAAACTCAGAGACTTTCATGGGGTGCAGAAGGGGCCCCTTAGTTCTTTATATACCAAATTACAATCCTTGTGATGCAGAAATGTTAAGCTGAATGTTGCGGATAGCTATACAGTCCTAAGGCCCAGTAAGCATAAGCAGTAGGGCGCCAGTCTGTTTGCAAGCATTGCTTGCTGTCTCTCTCCTCTTCCCAGCAGTTCTGCCAGAACTGGAATTTGGCCCGGAGTCTGGCTGTGGGATTCCACTGCTTCTGTGTATGTTTAAACATTGCCTGCCTTTCTCTTTCCTTTGCAGGTTATGGGCATGCTGCTCCCGGCACAGATGCTGGCAAAGTTTTCTGCATGTTCTATGCAATCCTTGGCATCCCCCTCACCCTGGTTATGTTCCAAAGTCTTGGGGAACGCATGAACACAGTCGTCCGGCTGCTGCTGAAGAAAATTAAGAAGTGTCTGGGCATGAAGACCACTAAAGTCTCCATGGAAAACATGGTGTTGGTTGGCTTCCTCTCCTGCATGGGCACACTGTGCATTGGAGCAGCCGCCTTCTCCTATTTTGAAGGCTGGACCTTTTTTCATGCTTATTACTACTGCTTCATAACCCTGACCACTATTGGGTTTGGGGACTTCGTGGCTCTGCAGAAGAACGAAGCTTTGCAGAAGAAGCCACCCTACGTGGCTTTCAGCTTCATGTACATTTTAGTTGGTCTGACAGTGATTGGAGCCTTCCTTAACTTGGTCGTGCTTAGGTTTTTGACCATGAACTCAGAAGATGAGAGACGAGATGCAGAAGAGAGGGCATCGCTGAGGAGAGCCAGGAACAATGTCCACCTGAAAGAAGACAGTAAGAGCAGAAATGCTATTTTTCTACCCATAGAAGACAGGACGAGCCAGATGAACCTCATCCCGTTGATCCAGGAAGACACTGACAGACAGAGGCGCCAGTCTTCAAATTCTGCAACCAGGGTCCCTTCCTTCTGCACGTGCCTGTGTTACAGACCTCGGCTGTGTGGAAGCCCTGCACCCTCCCATCCCGAGACCCTCAGCTGCCACACCAACCCCGTGTACTATAATTCCATTTCTTACAAAATTGACGAGGTTTCCCTGAGCACCAGGGATCAAACTGGGTTCTCTTCCCCAGGGAGCACCTTATCCTCCAACAGCCCCAGCTGCAGGGGTCACTCCCACCTCCGGAGGAAATCTATCTGAAGAGGGAATTTTTACTCTGAACTGTATTCTGCTCCTGCAGTCATATTTTGATGATAAATTATTAACTGAGCTGTCAGCTCATTGTTATTGCTCTCATTTCTTCTCCTCTGCCCCACTCCCTTTTAGATCAGCTTCAACTCTAGCAGCTGCCAGCCAGCTACACTATGTGCTGTCCAGAAGCATCTTTTAAATACTGCTGATGACTAATCATCTCTTTTAGCAGGGTACAAGGTCAAATCAAGTTACATATTTTTTGCAGTTGGCTGAAGCATTCAGATTTCAAATGAAAGAGTGCACAAAGTGTAGGAGTGGGTCTCGTGTCTAGGGTGGAATTGCTGCTTTGGATTTGCTTTATAAGAACAAACAGACCCCAAATCGCATCACGGTAATGGGTTTTGGTTAACCCTTAGGCTGCCAGTAGTTAATGGTGTAAGTCTAGAACCAAACAGGCTGAAAGATTTGATCCAAAAATTCACTGCAAAAATACTGAACTCACAGTTCCACTAGGGACAAACTCATATATTATATTTGGACTCTTCCCCAAACTGGAAATATGTAGTGGTTTAGGTTTGCGACTAATCATTTGTATTTGAGGTGATAATAACAAAAGAATCTCTCAAAGCAAACTCCAAACAGTATGTAAGCGCAGGCAGCAAAGCTGGCAGAAGCGCACAGCAAGGAAGAGGACAGATCACAAAGCACAGTACAATGGCCAAGCTGCAGGGTTTAGTGGTGTTGCGTTTGCTGCATGGGGGTGGAGTTGTGGGGAGAATATTCAGTTTCTGTGTCTCAGTTCAGGCCATTTAAATGACATTCTTAGTTCCCATTTTAAGCACCTGTCCTGAGGCTTGATAGCGCACCAACCAGCTGAACCATAAGCCAGGTGGACCAACTGCTTTTAGTTGGAATCTTAATACGGACCTCAAGCTCTGAGCAGTCAGTGTTTGATTGCAGTGTTCTGATTTCAAGGGGACACCTGGAGATCTCGACAACGAGACTGAGTGAAACACACAAACCATCCTGGTCCCTCTGACCCCTTCCCCTGCGATGGGTACTGGGTGACAGTGTGAGGAGCAAGATGGGCTGGAATTGAGAGTGTTAGGGTTTCAAATCATTACATTTAGTTGAAGGTTAACAAGATTGGGGAACGTGCCTTTTTCTGCCCTAAATGCACCTAGCCCCTGCCTTTTGGTCTGAGGGCCAAACCTGTCTTCAAGGTCTTAAAAGCCCCATTAACCTTGCTGGTCTAAGTGGGGGTGGGGATGCAGATTGTAACACTTACTGTATCTCTCTTGTCACAGTTTCTGTTTTCCCACTTTCAGCTATGCCCCCAGCACTCAGCACCAGAGTTTATAGTTCTTAATCATTCTCAGTTACAAGAACCCTTCAGTTCCTGCTCACTGTCCTTTGTGCCCCTGGCAGCAACCAAGGGTAAACAGGGTGGGGTCTCTGCTCCAGATCCAGCTCCAGTTTCCAGACAGAAAGCCAGGGTGCACCACGCTGCATCGTCCCACCATGGAGTCACCTCAAAAACTTCACTTTCATTCCAACATATGAGCTTCTTCCCTTGCTGTGTTTTGCGTGGTACTTGCTGGGAGGTATCTTTGGAGCAGACGAGCTCTTGTGCGGTGAATGAAACCACCTGGGAGCCGTAGTCTGGAGTACAGACTTCCGAGCAATGAGAGCCATTTTGCACTAAAGGCAAGTCTGATGAACCACCCAAAAGCTGCCTAATCTCATGGAGGGCCCAGAACTGCAACCTATATCCCCATGTTCTGCCTCTTTCTCCCAGAAAAGGATCTCTGCTTGCTCCCTCAGTGAGACTCGGGTGTAACTGGTGTAAATTAGCAAACCTTTGATTTCACAGGATGTTTGGTGGAGCTGAGCTTCTGGCTCTTGGTCTGCTGGGACTCCGGTGTACTCCCCACTTCCTTTTTCTCTTGCAACTGTCTTGGAGAGCCATGGTCCTCACTAGGAGGGACATGAGAAGAGGTAAGAGGACCTGGGTCCTGACTCTGGTTGTATTCCTTCCTACCAGGTGTGGGCACGGATCCCTGCCTTTGCAGGGCTCGGTACATCGGCTGTTCCAAGGAGGGCAAGAGGCTCCAGGCTGCTTCTCAGAAGAGCAAAGGAAGGGTGTCCCTCTTGATTGGCACCAACCAGTATTTGGCACCAACCAATTATTACTGAGCCCTCCATTGTTGGTCTCAGTGATGCCAGAGCAGGAGGCCTCCAGCTCAGGCTGCAAAAGGCCTCCTTTTTCCTGCCCAGAGCAGCAGTGCAGCACAAGGTCAGACATTTGGACAGTCTCCTTACCCTTGCAATCCACCTGAGGGATGACCTTTCACTTGAATGAGGAGCTCCCTCTCCTTCCATCCCAGTATGGGCTGGTGAAGTCCTTGTGACCTTTTTTCCTCTACCATCCTCTCCAGCACTTTGGAAGCCATCTTAATGTCCTGAGATTTCCACTAGGAATGCCCCCCCGGGTCATCTTTCTTTGCTCAGCTTTCTCCTGAGGAGGGGAAAGAATTGAAAATGGGTAGAGGGAAAACCAAAGAACTTGGCATGAGGTTTTGCCCTCTCCCTGGGAGACCTCTGGAACTAGAGCATTGAGTGGGCAGGGAGGCAGGGCTATGAAATTTAGGATTATAGATCTTCAAAAGGAAGTCCCTACCACCCTTGAGCTAGTGGAATAAGACTGCAGGAGCTGAGGGGCCTGAAAGTCCCATGGCAATGAAGAAGCACAAAGGGGAGTTGGTCTGTTGTGCAAACACCAATCCTCTGCATAGTCCATGGTAAGAAAGCCTAACTCAGCTGTTACATAAAGTATTTATAAAATCAGTCAGTTAGAAAGCCTGGTTTAATCCAAATCAAAGGCCAAGTGTTCCTACCCAAGGACCATGCTAAAGTCATGTCTGGTCAACCAGAGGAGTGCAGGCCCAGCAATCAGTACACCAAAATAAAAGCATCAGGAATTAGAGAACAAAACTGCCCATCACTCACTTTTTGAGCTAAATTATTTGGCATTGAAACCAGGAAGAACAGACAGACTAAAAGAAGGGAGCTTTGCCATCACAGCTCCTGTCCCTTCCCATCTCCTGGGACCCACCCTAACACCTTTGGGCCTTTGTCACTGCGATCTTGAGAATTGGCCAGACCATTCTGAGTCCAAGGGAGGGACCCAGGTGACTGCCATCTCCAGCAACTGTAACTTGGCCCTGAGCAACCCCTGGATTGGGAGACTTGGGTTCCTTCCATCGCCCTTTCCCTTGTGTCTCCTTTTCCTTCCCTTCCCTGTTTCTTCTTTCTTTCCTATACTTCAGCTAACGGAGTCAGGATTACCCAGCCATTTTGTGTAACACTGCGGTGGGGCTATCTAAAGGCAGCTCAAAAGCAGTGTCCTGCACCACCCCATGGTGATAAGAGCGTCCAATAAGGCTGCGTGCTGGGCTGGGTCTCTTGCTGCAAGGTTGCAAGAGCATCAGAAAGAAAAACTGCATTTTTCTGGTTCTGGTATTTTCTTTCTCCTTTTTTGTCTTATGTAGTTTTCAAGGAAACAGGCTCAAACTCGACCAACAATAACGACCACGGCATCTCTTGCAACTAACTTCTTTCAGTTTCTACCATTTAAAAGATCTTCTAAAAGACAGCCAAATGGGAGGGGGGAGGGGATTTTCCTCTGTAACCATGGGGAAAGGGAATAAAGGAACTGCTAAAATGAAAGCCTTAATTGATCATGTGCATTTAAATGCTTTGCCTGTTTCTCTCCTTTTTTCTCTGTATCTTTAATAAAAGGTTTTTCACGGTGGTGGTTTATCCTGGGACTGAAGAGGCTGAGCTCTTGGTACTTGAAATCCTGACTTTGCTTAGCTGTTTGTTGTTGTACAATGACAGGTCCCTGTTAACACCTTCCATGGTTTGGGCTCATTTAATCTAGTAGCCGCCTTCTGTTGCACCACAGCCATCCAGTGAGATGGACACTCAGAGCAATTCTGTGGTTGCTCGTGTGATTGCATCTGAATTTGTTACAAATCCTATTCCTAGATCTTTGCAGGGATATTCTGCCAGCATCAGGCCTGTGACTGATGTGCACCCTCTGTTAGCCTGTCTGGCAGAGACAATCTAGGCCAGGGGGAGGCAACCCCAGCATGGGTGCCTGAGCAAACCATTTTGCTTTGCACACACATGTATGGGTCAATCAGGTGGCCACCCAGGGCCCGGACAAAAAGGGGGCCCCAAAATGGTAATTTAAAAATTATTATTATCATTATCTCTGGCAAAGGGGGACCCAATACTAAAAGTTTTCCTGGGGCCACCAGGAGTCTAGGTATGGTGCTGCTGAGGGTGGATGGAAGGGAAGGGGCTGGGGCTCCACTGCCACAAGGATTGGGTCCCTTGTGGCTGCCCCACCACCTGCCCCTGGCACACCATCATCTGACAAGTTGAGGTTGCAGATGTTTTTGGCGCTCTGTCCAAACACATTGCCAACCCCTGGTCTAGGTAATCTGTTAGGTAGCCAACAGGCCCAGAATGGTGTAACCTCCCTCACTGCCCTGCTTCCAGTGTCTGACCCTTGTCTCTCAATGAATGACTATGGCCTGCAGTGGTAATGTGGTTGGGGTCACTAGGGCTAGTAGCAGGGCAGGCCAGGGATTGTGATGCTCCAGCTTCCCCTGGCAGAGACAATTGCCCAGGGATTAGCACCTCTGCTGGAGTGAACAGGTTTTGCAGCATTCATCCAGGCATCTGCTGAGCTGTCACATCTTACCTGCCATCATCCCTGGGTGGCCACGTATTGGACGAGGTCCTTGAGGATGAAGATGCCCATGCATTTGTATGGCAGAGCTGGTTCAGTATGTAGCTACAATGTGCTCTCACCCAGGTAAATAACCAGCTGCAGGCACTGGCACATAGAGCCAGTGCTGGACAGAAGCACAGCATTAGACATCATAAGACCTGCTGTGGGAAGCAGTGTGAGACCAAGCTACAGCTCTCCCCTCTTTTACCTGTCTCTGTTCACTGGTTGCAGGCAGTGGGTGAAACCCTGGCTTCTAGCCAGTGGGAGTTTTG